GTAAAACAAATAAGTGCAACCTGCCTTTACGTTGAATTTTAAATCGAATTCATTATTTTTTACATGAGTTAAATACATTAAAAAGTATCTGTAATAATTTTTAAATTCAAATATATAAAGATAAAGAAGAATTATGAATTAATTTGTTACAATAGGAATTGCGTGAACCTGAAAATTTAGGCAGAAACTATTAAAATCGACATAGATGATATACCATATTAAGGTCAAATGTACATATTGAGAATATCCTCGAAAAAAATATATATAAAAAAAAAGTTATGTTACATGAAAAAATATTTTATTTAATTTAAAAAAAAATACATTTTTTTGTTTCTATTTATAATGTCATTTATTAGTTGTGTAATATAATTTATAATTCTAGAATTCAGGGAAACATTCTTTTAAACAGATAAATTTCCCCATCTACATTTAAATTATTTGACTAGAGAAACATATATATGTTTTTGAATAAAATCATTCAGATGGTTTAGGTCATGGGGCTAAGTTTCACAAATGTTTCTTCTGTTATAATGTTTATTATTATTTTTATAAATTTTTGAATTTTTATTTTTTATTTGATATTCTAAATATATATATTTAATAAGGATACTATCTTATTATAAAAAATCATAGGGAGCATGCATATTGTAATTCTTATTTATGTTAATTATATAATGACTGGGAACAATATATACAAAAAACATTTTCTTTTATATTGAATTTAATATTAGTGCATGATAGAATATTATTTAGTAAAATAAATATCTATATAAATATATTTATATATTTTACTCATATATCAATTTTTGTAGAATCATTGTAGTAAAAAGTATTATATTACATAATATTTGAATTTATATCATTTTACGTACATATATAGCACAATTACTATAATATGAGATATATAAAATATTTATACATATATAATTTTTTCATTTTTTATGAATTTTAATTATATTATGATGAGTTTTGTTGAAGAATAAATTAAATTTAATGATATACGCACGTTATTGCATATTGATCATTAAGTAGTATGCTAAAGTTGGACCATTCATAGGTATAAATTTTAATTAAACTCATTTATATTATTAATATAAATAGGCATATATGTAATTTATTTATAATAAGTTAATTTTTTTTTTATTGTCCTTAAACCCGGATGTAGGAATATTTATATAATTTTGGAAATATATTCACATAGAATAATTCTTAATAACACATAAATTTTTTTTTTTTATTTGTTTATAATTTTTTTAAATAGATATTTCTTCTTTTATTATTGAATAAAAGAACGTGAAAACATTATTAGAATGTTAATATTAATCATAATGCCATAATAAATATAGTTATAATCCATTTAAAAAAAATCGTAAGATATTTAATGGAGGAAAAGAATAATAGATAATATATAGAACATGTAAATCATTACATAATAATAAATATCATGATGAATTCTATATTAAAAAAAGAAAGAATAAAATAAATAAAGCACACTAGATTATGTATATTGTAATAAAGCGTTTATGTAAAACTGTATAAATATTAATATTTTTTTATATTTCTTAGGAAAATCTATAATTATAATAATATTTATGTTGTATAGTTTTTGTGACGATTTAATTATTACATAATATAAAATGAAAACATTCTACATGATAATACTTGACACTTGTATTAGTTATCATTTTGTAAATTAAGATGTTTTAAAAGTACATACAGATTTCAATAAAAATAAAAACCCTTCTTCTTTGTGTATGTTCACAATTTCATGTTGATATAAGAATAATAAAAAATTTAATAATTATAAATTCAGTAGGGTCCTATATATTGTGGTACGCGAAAACATAATGTTTACGTGAGATAGTTAATAAAAAAATATAAAATTTACAAAAATTGGATCTACTTCCAATGTTCAGGTACTATTATATGATTAACTGAGACCATATATGAATTTTAATATTGAATAACAAATAATTTTTTTATAATCATTGATACCACCAATGCTCATATATTATGTAAGAATGTTTTTATTGCATGTGTTTAATAACATAACCTATATTATTAATAGAGAGAAAAAATATTAATATTATAGTAATTTTTATAAAATATAATCATAAAATATTTTTATTTTGTTCTTAAATAAACGTAAGTATTGAAAAATTCAATATTCATATTCTGATCAAAGTCTAATTCTAGTATTATGTAAAAAACTATGATATTTATATTATTCGGATAACGAAATAACAAAAATTATATTAAAAAACAACTTTTCACAAAGAACAGGAAGCATTATGTATTATTAACGGAAACTGAGGTATAAATATAAATAAACTATTAAATTGATTATAAAAAAGCATACATATTATCATTAATTATATAATTAAATAAGTATACAAAAATCACTTATGCCTTCTCAATATTTATATTAATTGAATTAGAACATATAATGCAGATTTAATCTCCTGGAAATGCATATGAAATGTAAATTTCTGGCATAAAATCATGAAAATTTAAATATTATAAAAAACTTTAAATAAATGTTAAATTAAAATATGTTAAAGGATACTAAGAAAAAAAAATGTTACATATGTTATATATTAATGCATTACCACACAAATAAAAATAATATAGATAATATATTTATGAAGATGCAGCATTATTTATTATTTTCTATTTTATATTTTCCTTATATTTATGAAATATAAACTATGATATATTGAATATATAACACTAAAAATGCATATATATTATATATTTGGATTATAAAACTCTAAAACTAAAAATCTTACCTATGTTTACTTTTTGATAAAGTAAATATTTTAAACAGTATTACGTTCATTTTTGATTAGTTTAAATTGTTATACTGTTGTTATATATTAAAAAAAAGAAAGCAAATAAAGTCTTTTTCATATTAAGTAAATTATTATTTCTTTGTTAATCTTACATTATGAATTATAATAAGGAATATAGCGGAAACTATCATACAATTTGATTAATCCCACAGGTATTCTCAATAATATGACATATTTATTTATATTACGTAAAACATAAATGTATATATAATTTTGAAAAAAATATTATATAAAAGTGTAATATTTGTTATAAAAAAATCAAAATATATATACTTATATATTTCATTTATTATTGTGCTGTGTTTTATATATATATGTGTTTTATATTTTTAATATATTGAGATTATATATAATTTTGGTACATTTTTAATTTTTTTTTTTTTTTTTGGAAGTATCCTTCCCTAGAAATACATTATTTTACATAATATATAATGTTTATTTTTTATCCTTTGTCTTTATATGTGCCTTATATTGAAAAAATTTTATTTATGTATATTTTTATATAATAGAAATTAGTTATTCTATACAACAATTTATTAATCCGTATATTATGAAGTTTATGATTATATCAAATTTACGACAGGAATAAACATTATTATAATACAAAATTTATTTCTTTATTCATAGAATTATAATGTACAATATTTTTATGATACACAAGGAAATGCGTAATATATCATATAATTAACCCTATTATAATTCATACACTTATTATACTATGAAGTGGTATATTATGTAAATAATAATTTTATAAATTTTCATTCACATAAAATATATAATGTATAAAGGGTGCTCCATTTCATATTAACAAAAGTAAGCATTTCTTAATATTTTAAAAATTTTCTAAGAAAAAAAACTATTATTTCAAAAAAAGAACTTTTTATAAAATTGAAAAATAAATTATTTTGAATGAACATATAATATATTTATTAAATATGTAGTTAGATTATGGATTCCTGTTTTTTTATAATAAATCAAGAAAAATAAGAAATTCATAAAATTAAATATAATTTAGGTTATGTGTACCTAGAGGGAATGGAATATAGTAGATAACCTTATAATTTTTTGTACCGTATTATTTATACTGTAAGTATTATTTTAATTGATATTTGAATAATCTCATTTTAGAAAACACATATATATAATTTTAATTATTACAATGAGCAAAAATAGGAATAAAAAATAAATATAAAAAAAGCTATAAAGAATAATTTTATTTTGAATAATATCTTATTAAAAAAATAAATTTATTATATTTTAAAAATAACACTTTATAAAAATTAGGCTATTCATTTTGTTACCATTTTAAAGCATTTGATAAAATAAATGTTACTGTATTATAAGTATAAAATCTTTGAGCTTATATTATATGTAATCACTATTTTAATATTATTTATACATATGTTAAAGATGATATATTAATAATAATGAAATATGTGCGTATGAAAAAGATAAACTATGTTTCTTAAATAAATGAGTTAAAAATAAATTAATATATATTTAAACCATTGTTTTATATTGAATCTTATGCCCACATAGATTTTATACATTATTGAATCCATGTACATATTATATATCAAGATTAAATATAATTTACTTAGGGTGGGATAAGGCACATCATTATATATAGAATATCTTTAACATAATAATTTTTAGGTGTTCTTATATGTTATCGTTATTAAATAAATGTTTATAATATATTAATATATCAAAATTTAAAGAGCAATTGAAATATGATATAAATATGTTAGCTTGTATTTACCAATTATATGTGTACGCAAAAAATTTTATTTCTAAGAGGCAATGATTATTTATTAAAATTATTTTAAATATATTAAAGTATTACAATATAGTGATTATTACGTTCCATTATTGCATAATTCATATTATAACAGCTGAATGTTTTTAATATGTACTCTTATAATAATGTGTATATATCACTAATGATACATAAATATTATATTAGTTTAATCTATAGTAAGACAAAAAGAAAAGAATAAAAATTAATATCCTCTGTAAAATTTATAAATTATGAGCATTATAGCACATGAAACTAATATAATATGTTTTGAAATACATATAGTATATAAAATTATTTAATAAAAGAATACGCAAATCACATTTGTTAATTATTATAGCAAAAATATAATGAATGTCGTTCATTCCACGAATAACAACGTATGATTCTGCTTTCTATATAATTTTTACTTATATCACGACATTTTAAAAAAAACGTAAATTGAGATAACTATTCAATAAATTTTTTCATAAAAATATAGCGTAAAGTTTTTTGTAATTTTTATACATTCATTTTGAGTTTGATTTTAAGGATATATTTCCTCAAAGTCATTATGATTTTAATGGGATTGAATGGAGGAGAGAATTCAGGAGACCATGGCTTACACGTTGTTCAGCAGTTTGTAATGATTTTATGAATAGAATAAATGTTTCTATTGATGTTTCAGTTGTCTTTAATACGTCTTGTTATAGAATATGTATGTATTTAAAATTTATAGAAGGCATAGCACCTGGAAGAGAAAATTATTCAGTAAGTAGTTGTAAATATTTCTATTACAAATTAAAGGAGCTAATGAAAAATTATGCAGGTGACTGCAAAACAACAAAGGAATGTTATACAAAAATGAGGGAAAAAAGAGGTAATGTAGATAGAATGGATGTACCTGATATATGTGTAAAGCACCTTAAGGGCATTGATGATATTGATGATATATATGATAAATTTCAATATTTACAGAAACTATATCATATAGAAGACGAATTTAAAAAAACATGGGTGAGCTGTGATATTGCTAATAATCTTGTTAATAAATATATAACCCATTCAGCAATAAGTAAAAGTATGAACAATAACAAAAGTTTTATGGAAGAGCTAGATAAAGTTAATGTTAAGTACAATGAATATCGTAAGGTAAAATCTGAATGTTTTCCTTCACCGAAACACTCATATTCCTCTTTAGAACCAGGTGCAGATACAGTTACTGGTATGTTCGTTTTAAATACAGCTATTTTAATAATTATTTTCATTTTTTTTAAGGTTAAATATAATTTTAATTTAGTAAATGTATATTGAATTGAAATTTATATTACACAATATGATATGTAGTTTATATCAAATCAATGATCTACATTCTAATATAAAATATTGTTTTTTTATTTTCAGTATACAAGTTATGGTTCATTTTTATAACCAATTGTACTAAATTTAGGGTGGAGGATGAATAAAAAAAATAAGCATTATTCAAATATAAAGGATACATTTCATAGGACATATACAAATAGAAATAACAGAAACTATAGAATAGCTTATTATTCAGAAGACTAGAAAAAATAAGAGTATAATATTTAATCAATAAATAAATAAAAACCTGTTTTTTGAAAAACAATATAATTATATATATATTTGGATAATATATAAAATATTTACTAGGAAAACCGAATTAAACATAATAATAAAATCATAAATATAGCTCAAGAAACTGTATTATAATTAATTCAATATATATAATAAGAATTTTTAAACATTGTCCTATACAAAAAATTAATATAGCTACTATCAAAAAATAAATATTTTAATAACATATAATCATATATTAACATTTGTTTAAGAATATAATTTAGAGAGTTAATTATACAGACATTTGTTTTTCATACATTATGTATGTTCATAAGTTTTATTTTTTTTAACAGTTTTTTACATCTCATTTCCATAAAAATGAAATTCTTCATGAAATATATATAGATAATAAAAGACATATTCATTAATTTAATATAATATAGTACAATATATATAACAGTTACTTAATAATATTTGTTAATATTTTTGGTTACGTATTCAAATATATATATTATGTAACAAATTTTATAAATTTTATTAAAGTGTTAATATATCTAATTAATGATTAATATAAAATAAATGCATTATTTAAATATTATGAACCAAACTGAGAAGAATTATTTATATATAAATTCAAATAATTTCTATGCATATACATGGAATTTTTTAATATTAATAAAATTAAAATATGCACATGTAAATAAAGAAAAAACTGAAAAAATCGTATTTTTCATGTAATACCATAAATTATATATATAGTAATATTAATAGAATTCTATTATTATATTCATATATGAAATAATTCCAAAATTCTTATATATTTATATTATATAATCATTGTATTGCTTAAATATAATTTTTATAATTATGATATTTAGATAAATATATATATGCACATATATAAAATTTAGGAGCATATTTTCAAAGATCCCTGTATTATTCTTTGCTATAAATGTATCATAAACATATAATATTATAATACATAAGCATAGATAAAAATATAAAGATAAAAATTCATGCTATAAGAAAAACTTAGAAACAGGGTAAATAATTTACTAAACAATAATCATCATAATAGTAGATTTAAAATATAGTCTATATGAAACGTGTTTTTTTTTTACAATACATAATATAGTGTGATATATAAATATGAATTACACTTATAAGTATTAAAATTGTTACATTATTAGAATGCAATTCTTATAATTTTATCATTAAATTATATTTAAATCAATTCAGTAATATAAGTATGTTTACATCTATATAATGAATTATAAAATATAAACATCATACTATATATATGCATGATTTATAAAAATTCTAATTTGTTTAAGAATCATACTGTAGAATACAATCTCTTCTATTATATTTTCATGATTATACATTATTTTTATTCTTTCATATACATAACATGTCATAAAATTTTCAGTAATATATATTGCATGCATCCTTTTTTTGTATAATACATGTATAAATATTAATTGTAACAAAAATTTTTAGAACCACATAAATATTACAATTACAAGGCTCTATTTATATTTATAACTGAATTATGAATTTTTTGAAGGATACATATTAAATTGTTTTTTTGTTTTTATTTTTCTTAGGAATATATTAATATTTAACAATATAAATAAATACTTTAACTACAGTTGTACTATATTTCATGAATCACATTAGTTAAAAAAAAAGAACAGAACCGAGGAACACTTTTTAAATGACATTGTAGACAGTAGCATGATTATAAAATTTTTAAATTTCTCTTATTACACTTGAATAATTATTAAATACATAAAATATATTTCATAATAAATTTATATATATTTTTACCTTATTATTATGAGAATAAACAATGTATACATAACAATATATTATAATAATTCGGGATGACTATTTATAAATAATATATTAAAGAAGGTTTTATTATATTTACAAAGAATAATACGTATTTGTTCTATTTTTACTTAATTCTAACTATATTATTGAGGAATACTACAAATTAAGAATGGTCTCTTTATCATATATAATCATTAAATAATAAAAGTAAATATATATATTCTTATAATAACTGATTCAAATTTTTTTAAGCAAATAACATATAAATAAATATATTTATTATAAAACTTTATAATGTAGAGTTCATTAATAAAACTGTAAAATTGTGATCTGTATATCTTTATCAAGATAGTAATTGCTTCTTATTCAAAAGAATATTGTAATTTATTAATTTGTAACTATTTCATCTACATGCCTGTACACATCTATAAACATATATCTTGATAATAAGTAAATGATATAATATAGGTAAACAAGAAATAACCTTATACCTTATGGGTAGCTAATGTAGGTATTTTACATTATATGAATAAATATATAATTGCCTAATTACTGCAATAATCTAATAGAAATATTATTATAATATTATAATATGCATGTAAAGATTAATGGTTATATATGTATCAATATAGTATTAATATAAAAAAAATGTTAAAAAGAAATCCTTGATAAATGTGAAAAATAATAATTTTTTTAATAATAAATATATATGTGTTTTTATTCTTTACATAGTGTTCAGAGTATATAAAACAAAAAAGTGAAATAAAAAAAGAAAACGTCAAATTAACATAACACATTATAAGAATAAATCTTGTTTATACGATAAAAGAAACATATTTATATAATTTATATCATACTAAAAACACAGTATATTTAAAAAAAAAATACAGTAATAAATTTTTATGTAATTTATAAGGATATTGTTATTGTTCATTTCATATTATTGTTTGATTACACTATACATATGTATGAAGTTTATATATATTTTCTTATATAATTTAATTTATTCGTTTTTATATTATAAGTGTTATATGAAACATTTTTTTTTATATAAATTCTATTTTCCTGTATCTGCACGAATTATTAACTTTTAAGCGTATGTCACAATTGAAAGATTATTGTGCAATATATTCTTATTATTATATATTAATGTGATTCTGTATTAACAAAAAATTTTGAACATATTTTAACAGTATTATTAATTCTAACAATAAACATACTATTATATTAAATATAATAAAGCGATATAGTGTAAATTAGGAACAATTATAAACACTTAAGGAATCAAAATATATTTTGGCAATAAATTATACACTGATTTATTAAGCATGTCAAAATTAGATTAATAAGAAATAATAAATTATGTTCAATTTTATATGATATGAAGGAAAATAATTATATAAAATAATTTCTATACATACCTTAAAATTAATAAATATAAGATTTATTAAAAAATATATATAGATATATGAATCCATATTTAGTTAAAAAGAATTGAATTCATTATGTTAAAGATTTATTTGCGAAATATTTATATAATATATTTTTAATTATATATACATAATTAAGGAAATATATAATATAATATATAACATAATTCATTAAAAAAACAGAGAAAGGAGGTATAATAATTCTTATATTATTTCTCTTAAATATATACTCAATTTAAATTAAATTATATATATCAATTTACTTTTTAAACTCAATATCTTCCATTAGAAGTATAGTGTAGGTATAATTTTATTTGATAAAATAATTAAAAAAAAATAAAATAAATAAATATATAATTAAAAAAAACTTGTGGGAGAAAAATATTTCTTGTGTACTCAGAATTAAAGCCATATTAGATATTTTATATTATATAATTAATGTACTATGTCTTTTTAAATTATTATACTTTTGTGAGATTATATTTTATGACGTATAAAAAAATATATTAGAACCAAACGCGAAAAGCAAATATAAAAAAATCTATTGTTTATAATACATTTATATATATGTAGAAAATATATTATAATATTTTATCAAAAAAAAAAATTATTATAAAATAAA